TGGAGCGACCTTTTGGACCGACTCCAGTTTTGTCTTCCAGGGCGTCTGGGAGAGAAGCCTTCTTTTCTGTTGCTCATCCAGGGCCGCCTGGGCCGATCTTTGGTCGCTCGCGCGGCATGCTATCGAGGACAGAGGAAGCCTCGAGCAGCTCGGCCTTCGCAAGGTCAAAGCACGCACTAACAGGTCTGATGTGTTTGCGGGCGTCCTTGCCGCACGCGCTCTGGTTGGCATTCACATGGCTGACGTTAGTGCCAAGCAGGCCACCGAGTTTTGTAGAGTGTCTGAGCAGTCTCGCGTGCGGCTCAAGAGTCAGCACAACGTTGCGTCCACGCTCACAAGATGGGTTGGACTGCGTGTGCCGCCGATGGCCGACTTGGACTGTGAGCGCGTCCTTAACTCCAAGCGTGTCCAAAATGTGCGCGATGTTGTGCAACCGTTGCAAGTCATTCCTCCTCCCCCCTTTGTCTCGTCGGCTAAAGGTCGGGCTGATGTTGCGATCGCGGTTTTGCGGAGAGAGGGTCATGCCACCCACCGCGTCTATCCCTTCACTCTCGCGGGGGGAAGGCGGGGGGTGGTCTGTGCCTTTTCAGGGAGCCGTGTCCGCCCGCCCCCTCTGTCTGGGGCAGTCGAGTGTTGCGCGGCCTGGCCGGGGTCAGGTACAAGCAGGGCAAAGAGTGTATCTTTCTCACTGAGCCCTGGCGCCCGGGCGACTTAGAGAGAATCGGCCTGGGCTAGGACCCAGGCCGCCCACGGAGAGAGCACCCTGTCGCTGGCCCTCCGAGTGGATCTCGCCCCCAGCGGGAGGTGACAAAAAGGTCGCCCTGATGGGTGCTCTCCCGTGACTTTTGTTGTGAAGGGTTCTCGTGGGGACCTCAGGAGCGCCTACTGCGTGCGCAGGAGGAGGCGGCGGAGGAGGAGGAGGCGGAGGAGGAAGAGGAAGAGGAGGAGGGGGAGGAGGAGAGGGACGAGGAGGCGGAGGAGAAAAAAGAGGAGGGGGAGGAGCAAGTGAGCGAGGAGGAGGAGCAGGAGCAGGAGAAGGAACAAGAAAAGGACGATGCGGAGGGAGGGGGGAAGGAAGGAAGGACGGAGGGAAGGAGGAAGGGGGGGGGGAGGGAAGAAGGGAGAGGAAGGAGGAGGGAAAGGGAGGAGAAGAGGAGGAGGAGGAGGAGGGGGAGAGGAGGAAGAGAAGATGAGGAGGGAAGAGGAGGAGGAGAGAGAGAGAGGAGGAGGAGAGGGGGAGGAGGGAGGAGGAAGGAGAGGGGGAAGGAGGAGGAGGACGACGAAGGGGACGAGGAGGAAGAGGATGAGGAGGAAGAGGAGGAGGAGGAGGAGGAGGAGGAGGAAGAGGAACCGGAGGGGGAGGAGGAGGGGAAGGAGGAGAAGGAGGAGGAGGAGGAGTTGTGGCGCACCGTGCAGCACGCTGCATGGAAGTCCCCCCGCTCGGGTTCCTCCGCCCGCCCTCTCTGGGCCCTAGGGATCCACCCTCGGTGCGGCAGCGACGACGCGCGGAGGTCGGGGGGATGCCCGCCAGAGAGACGTTCTCCATGGTGGTCGCGGAGGCGGCGGCGCCCTCCCAGCGCGCCCTCGCGGAGGGGGCGGCGGCGACGGCGACGACGACGTCGGCGTCGTTCGCCGCGACGTCGACGGCGGCGGCGACGGCGACGGCGCGGCGGCGGCGACGGTGGCGGGGACGGCGACGGCGACGACGACGTCGGCGTCGTCGGCGGCGACGTCGACGGCGGCGGCGACGGCGACGGCGCGGCGGCGGCGACGGTGGCGGGGACGGCGACGGCGACGGTGGCGGGGACGGCGGCGGCGACGGCGGCGGCGACGGCGACCGCGACGGCAACGGCGACGGCGACGACGACGACGACGACGACGACGGCGGCGGCGGTGGCGGCGGCGGCGGCGACTGTGGCGACGGCGACGACGACAACGACGACGACGACGACGACGGCGACGACGGCGGCGGCGGCGGCGACGACGACGACAGGGATGACATGGTCTTTTCTTTTTTTTTTTCTCTCTCTCTCTCTCTCTCTCTCTTTGCAATGCGAAGAGGGCTTCGGCGCAGCCGAAGTGCATCCAGGAGCGCCTCGAGGAAGGCCCCAAGAGGGCCCCAGCACGGCCAAAGACAAGTGCAACGAAAAGGCCCCAGGATGGTCAAATCTAGGCGCCAGAGGAGCCTTCAACTGGTCTGCGGAGTGCGCAGCTGGTACACGGCGATCGTTGAAAGTAGGTATTTCTGGACTTCCAGACCCCAATCTATTTCAAGCGCCTTCCTGCTGCAGGAACCGATATGCTTCTGCCGTGTGTTTTTGTTCCCTGGGAGGGCCCCGACCCAATCGACGTGATCCGCCTTCCGGCTTTGTGCTTCCACCTACTTTTTCTCAGACCGCCGTGTACCCATGGGTCGTTGAACGTGGGTAGCTTTCGAGTCCCAGATTTCAATGTGCTTTAGGCCCTTTCCTACTTCAGGGATCGAGTGGCTTCACCTGTTCGGTCTTCTTGAGGGGGCGGGCGGACACCCAAGCTACTTTCAACGCCTTTCTGCTTCCTGTTCCACCTGCTTCTCCCGACCAACGTGGAAGTCTGGGATGCCTCCTGGGCCAGTCTGAGCCGCTCTACAGGAGAAATAGGTTCCTGGTTTGTTGTTCAACATTGTTTCACTAGTTGTTTCATGTTTCTTTCAAACTCCGCCTGTAGGAGGACATGCCCGACTTAAACGTCCTACGACGGCCCCAGGAGGGTGTGGTCCCCACACGTGCAACGGGACGTCCAGGACACCACTGGCCCGCCCCGCACAGCCCCCCAACAACCAGCGGATGGCATTGAGGCGGAGGAGGTGGAGAAGGATCGGGGGAGCGTAAGACCCGGGTTTGCCAGGACTCGGGTTCGCCATCGTTTTTTGACGACCGCGACACGGATTTTGACGACTAGGAGTTTCGTGGGATGTTTGCAGCGGGAGGCCTCGTCAAAATGCAGGCTCGGCCTCGTGATTTTTTTGACGACCTCGTCGGGGATTTCCGAGTCCCCTGTACCCGGGTCTTACGCCCCCCTGAAAGGAGGGAGCGTGCGCTGCAGGTGCCAGGAGGGAAGACGAGGGAGGACGCGGAGGAGCATGCTGACGATCACTAAGTCAAAACAGATGCCCAATCCCAAAAACGCGAGGGCCAAGACAAAATGCAGGCTTCTCGAGACTTCGGGGAGGGAGATTTTGGGGTAGGGTTTCACCTGGCTGGGCGACGACGACGAGCGCAAAACCTGCCCCGAGATCTTTGGCCGACCTTCGAATCCTCGGTGAATCCGCGTTTTTGGGATTTGGGGATGTGGTTTTTCGTGGTCAGACGAGACAGGGGAGGAGGCCTCCTTCGGTTGTCGCCCCTCCCCTCCGGCGCGCATCCGCTTCGGTGGACGTGCACCCGCCCGGAGCCGAACATAAAGTTTTGCCGACGCCGAGCGAGCAGCCTCGCAGACGCTGTCCTGGCAGCAGTGCCATCACTCAGGAGGGAACAAAAACACACAGACACAATTCGTCGGCGATTCCCACAACATATGGGAACCTATGGGAAATGGGGGGGAAGACAAGAACCCAGAAAATGTGGGAAACTAGGGGGAATCTTTTTGTTCGTGCGTATTTGTTTGTGTGTCCTGGGGCCCCTTCAATCACAGCCGCATGCGTGCCACAGCCAGTGTTGTGCCGATCCCCCCGTTCCCATCCTCGCCCTTTCCCCCTCCCGACTCGCCGCGCTGGGCGCCAAGAGCAGTCTCGGAGCGGCTGGCCATGCGGACAGTTTTCGACACCCCAAGGGGCCACTCTCTTATCGCTTGGGTGTCCGGAATTTAGAGTTTACATTGGCGCCGCTTGTGTTTGGCTACCTGTCGGTCCTGCTGTCGCCTCCTCTTCCGCTCCTGAGCCACGCGCAGCGTTAATCCTGCGTGAGTAATTTCATGACTGACCGACGCGGTTGAGCCTGAAAGCCTTCATAGCGATTTCGCAATTGCGGTAGCGGGTAAAGCCATAAGCTTGATTGCTGCGCAAGCAGGTGCGTTGGGACCATCGTGATTTGCTGTCATGCATGACCAGCGGGGTTGAAGGTGGGATCATGGTTCCACAGATGTGCTCGGTGTTTCAGCAGTTTGCCTCCCGCTGGAACGACCAGGCTATGTTCGCTTATCAATTTGAATGTGAGCAAGAGTTTTATCCATATGCATTCGGTCTTAGACTTTCTGGGAAGGCGCGCCGAAAGGCCGAGGCGCACTAGATCTGGATACAAATCTAGCCTCTAGTGGCAAGATTCTTGCCTGTATCCACTGCGCTTCTGGTTCCTGGCGATGGAAGCCCAAAGCTCCAAGACGCACGGGATACGGGTACAAGTCTTGCCCGCGTTGGCAAGAGACACGAGGGGGCCCCAACCAACGCCGAGGGGACCCGGGCGACCCCAGGAGGGCCCCCGGGTGTTCGCCAAGTGCCCTCTGGATGCCCCTCGTGGGCCCGAGCATGATCCCGCATCTGCCAGGAGCGACGCCCCGGTGGCCTCACGGTGGCTTGACTGCCGACCCGTGGAGCGCGCGGCTGGCGGGGGGGCGTAACACTGGAAGGAGATGCATGTCTACACGTCGTATGGAAACTTTGGTTACGATCGACATGGGTGTGGGAAGACTGGGTACGAAGGCCAACAGCAGCCACTGCTCATTTGTAAGAGGACGCGTTGTCGGTGTCGCCGCAGACGTTGTCCATCTGAAGCAAAAGTTGCCTGCCCAGCAGCGGCCGCTGTCGGTGTTGGGCAACATTGGTTGTTGGGCATCGTACCCATGCTTTCCGTACAAATTTAGATCGTATTGAAAGTAGACATACGACGTGTAAACACAAATATTTTCTTCTCCTCCCCAGGCGTCTAATTTCTTCTGCATGGCTGTGCATCCTATATCCCAGCACGGGCACCAGCCTCACTTATGCCCCCAGGGGGGGAAATACGCCTGGGACATCGGTGCTCTGATGTGTAGTCGTTCGTTCAGCTGCAGCTGGGTTGCCAGTCGCATCACGCGCGAGCACGGGAGCAGGACTCGCTTCGCAGCCGGTGCAGTGCTCTTCCGCGACACGTTTGGCTCAAGCCGTTGCCAGGGGCTCGGCATCCATAGCCCCTTCCACACGTGTTGTCTCAGGGCCCGGTTGCTGCAGCCAATGCCCGGACGCGACACCTCCATTTGAGCAATATTCGGGGGTGGCAGAGAGGGGGGCGATGAGTACGGGGGGTGAATATCATGGCGGGGGCCATGGCATCTCCCTGGATTGCATGGCCCTTCTTGGCATCTCGATGCGCCCTCGGCACGCCCCTGGGCCGCGCACGCGCCACCGGCCATGCCTTGTGCCCCCCCTCTTGGGCGCCCCCCTCTTGGACGCCCCCGAAGTACCGAACTGTACCCGGATTCGCCGTCAGGAGTCCACGGTCGTGTAGCCGCCCCAGATGGGTCCACGATCGATCCGTCCAGGCAGACGCTCCCCGGATAAAAAAACACATATGGGCGCCCGCCGCGGGTGGAGGGTTTCTCCGAAGGGCTTAGACGACCAGTCCTCCTCCTCCTCCTCCTCCTCCTCCTCCTCCTCCTCCTCCTCCTCCTCCTCCTCCTCCATCTCCTCCTCCCCCTCTTCCTCCCCGTCCTCCTCCCCCTCCTCCCCCTCCCCCTCCTCCACCTCCTCCGTCTCCCCCTCCCCCTCCTCCCCCTCCCCCTCCTCCCCTCCTCCTCCTCTCCTCCTCCTCCTCCTCCTCCTCCTCCTCCTCCCTCCTCCCCCTCCTCCTCCTCCTCCCCTCCACCTCCTCCTCCCCTCCCCCTCTCCTCCTCTCCGCCTCCTCCTCCTCCTCCTCCTCCCCTCCTCCTCCCTCCTCCTCCTCCTCCTCCTCCTCCTCCTCATCCCCCTCCCCCTCCTCCGTCTCCCCCTCCCCCTCCTCCCCCTCCTCCGCCACCTCCTCCACCTCCTCCTCCTCTCTCCTCCTCCTCCTCCTCCTCCTCCTCCTCCTCCCCTCCTCCTCCTCCTCCTCCTCCTCCTCCTCCTCCTCCTCCTCGGGTTGCCTGCGGCCCCGGGGGGGGGGGGGGGGAACCGTGCAGCCGCGGGCAGACGCCCAGGGCCTCTCCGGTCCAGGGGCAGGGGGCCTGCTTGGCTGGCCCGGGCCCCTGGCCGGAGAGCACCACCTGGAGGATCGAGAGGATCGAGAGGCTCGAGGCTCGAGGATCGACTAGACGTAAGAGTGACCTTTCGCCGGAGTGACCTTTGGTGCTGGCACAGACGGGTCCCCAGATGGCTGAAAACGAAGCAGGAACAGCGGCTTGCGCGCCCAGGTTTGGTCCCCCAGCGGCCCCCCAAAAGCCGCGCACCAAAGGTCACTCTTACCCAGGGTCACTCTTGCGTGTAGCCGAGAGGAGGGCCGAGGACGTGAGGCTCGAGGAGGGTCGAGGATCGGGGATCGAGAAGGGTCGAGGAGGGTCGAGGATCGAGGCTCGTGGAGGGTCAAGGAGGGCTCGAGGCTCGAGGAGGACTGGCGAAGCGTCCTGGCTCGCCTATAGCCCTACCAAACAATGATCTAAGAACCTTTTGTGGTTCCTACGAAATGTTCTTAGAACATTTCTGGCGGAGTCTGTCTCGTTTTAACACATCGGGTGTTTGTTCTAAGAACATTGTTTTTGATCTGAGAACATTGCCTTTGTTATTAGAATATGTTCGGGTTAAGAGCAATTCGTGGTATGACTATAGGAATGCTGGGATGGTCGGTCCCTGCTCAAAGGAGGAGGATCGAAGGGCTCGAGGCTCGAGGAGGACCGAAGGGCGTGAGGCTCGAGGGTCGAGGATCGGGGATCGAGGAGGATCGGGGATCGACGACGGGGAGTAGGATGAGGGGGGCGAGGATCGAGGACCGAGCTCTGCCGGCGCTCGTGCCCATTTTCGGGCCTCTGGAGACCACCACCTGGAGGAGAAGCATCGAGGATCGAAGGTGGGGAGCAGGATTAAGTCGGGCATGTCCCTCTACAGGAGGAGTACCCCAGAGCGGTCATAAAGCAACAGTCAGGGGTCGATGTGTCGAGTATGTGTCGACTACGTCCGTGCAGTTTGTGCCATCTTCTCTTCCAACATCCGCCTGCAGGAGGAGATGGATGCCCGACCCAAGAGTCGCATGATCAGGAGAGGAAAAAACACACAGACACAATTAATCCTCGACTCCTCAGAAAAGATGGGAAAACATATGGGAAGTGGGGGGGGAAGACAGAAGCCCAGAAAAGAGGGGGAACTATGGGACATATTTTTATGTGTGTGTGTACTTGTTGGTGTGTCCTGGGGCCCCTTCGCAGGAGGAGGGCGAGGCTCGAGGAGCGAGCCTCCTCTCGGCGCTCCTGCCGGCGCTTCGGACCTCTGGCGAGGGCTCGGGGGTGCTGTTGGCGTGCAGCGATCTGGGCGCTGCAGTCTCTGCACCCTCCAGGTGCAGAGGAGGAGGAGGAGGAGGAGGAGGAGGGGGGGGGGGGAGGAGGAGAGGGGAGGGGGAGGGGAGGAGGGGGAGGAGGAGGAGGAAGGAGGAGGAGGAGGAGGAGGAGGAGGAGAGGAGGAGGAGGAGGAGGTGAGGAGGAGGAGGGGGGAGGAGGAGGAGGAGGGGGAGGGGGAGGAGGAGGAGGAGGAGGAGGAGGAGGAGCATGAGCAGGAGGAGGGGGGTTCGAGGATCGACCCCTCTCGGCGCTCCTGCCACTGATTCGGACCTCTGGCGACCTCGGGGGTGCTGTTGGCGTGCACCGATCGGGGGTGCTGTACACCTTAGGCGATGCTTAAGAAAACCCAAGTTTTCGGCCAGAGTCTCGATTATTCTTAATGTTTCGATGTAAATCCTAAGATTTGAATGGAAATGTTGGGTTTTTATTCAAATTCTGAGACTATGAATTTCTTAACCCATGATTTCTAAAGCATTTCGCAGGGTGTAGTCTTTGCACCCTCCAGGTTCGGAGGAGGAGGAGGTACTCCAGATCTCGTAATAAAAGGGAGGGGGTCTGGACCCTCCAAGACGAGCCATTTCAGACCCTCCCCCGTGGGACAACCCTCCAAAGCGTCGTCCCCAGACCCCCCCAGGCCCCTCCAAGATAGCCGGGAAGAGACCCCCCCCGAATTGAGACCCCCCTCCCTTTATTACGAAATCTGGAGTACCCGTACCTGGCCCGAACTTGGCTTCAGTGCGTTTCCAATGCGGATGAAAAGTTGCCTGCTGAAATATTTGAATTTTCCTTTTGGAATATCGCCGACGCCAAACCTAGTTCTGAAAAGGTAATTGGCATGCACCACAAGAACAGAGAAATGTATGCAATACTTTCTAGATGTGTATACAGAGAGGGGCGGATGGGGGAGAAAGAAAGAGAACGATCAAGAGAGAGAGAGAGACACAAAAAAACATATAGAGAGAGGAATCTTTACATATTTATATATATATATGTATATGTATAGGCATTTATATATAAAATGAGAGTGACAACGCGGGGGGGAAAAAAAACAGAGAGATCGAGAGAGAGAGACCCCCGAATAGTCCCACATGTCCCCTCCACCCTGCTCCTCCTCCTCCTCCTCCTCCTCCTCCTCCTCCTCCTCAAGCCCCGAGCACTTTCGGCCACGACCACTCCTACGGCAGGTTTGTGCCGACCGGCGGCGACCCCGCCGCCGGCATTCAACGTTGAACGCCGCCGGCGACCCAGAGTCGGTCGATGTTGGACGATACGACGTTGGAGCGATTCCCGCGGTGTCAAGAACCAACGCCGAAGGCGGTGCAATACGAACCTGCCGCACCACTCGAGGCCCAGGCAGCCCTGGAGGCCCAGAATGGGGGCGAAAAGCCATGATCGGCGGCGAGGCGGGGACATGCCGGCGGCGTCTCCGGCGCCGCCCCCCTGGCTCGCTCCGCGCGCCAGGGGGGGGGGGGAACCAACACAGGCCCCACTGATCCGCGCGGAGGGCCCAAAGTTTACGTTTGTGCTGTTGGGCCGGGGGTCTTTTCCCTCCTCCTCCTCCTCCTCCTCCTCCTGTCTATGCCGCTCTTCCTTCTTCTACGTATTGCCCCCGCGTTATAATCACGGGAGGCCAAGCGTATACCCCCGGAGCAGACGCACCGTGGAGAGGGGGGCGTTTCAGGGCCCACCTCGGCCGCCCAAAACTCAGGAGGGGAAAAAACACACAGACACAATTAATCGTCCACTGCCAGGAAAATATGGGAAAATATGGGAAGTTGGGGGGAGACAAAAACCCAGAAAATATAGGAAAATATGGGGAATCTTTTTTTGAGTATATTTATTTGTGTGCCCCAGTTCCCCTTCAAAAACGGCCAATGAGAGAGAGGGCTGGGCCTTCCCAGAAGGCCTGGAGGCCCCCAGGCAGGCCTCGTCCGAAGTGTTCGGAACCGCCCCCGCCATCGCACAACACTTCCCAGGATGCGGGCAGCATTTCGGAGGAGGACAAGGAACCCATACCTCTACCCCCTCCCCCGCCCGTTTTGCTCTTTATGGGCCTCCTGGGAGGCCCTCGTCGCCACCGCTGGATGCGCCTCGAAGTCCTGGTCAGGACGCACCCCAGGAGAGGTCCGGGGTGCAGCGGTATCGGTACCCTTTGATTTCCTCAGTATGTATATAATTGTATCTCCATGTGCAGTGCGTCTTGGGCTTTCTGGCCGGGCCGCACCGGACATGGACAAGCATCGAGCCTTTATAGGGGCCATATGATTATATCCATATCCAGTGCGCCTCGGGGTTCTGGGGAAGGGAGTCCGAAATTTCAAGCTGCAGTGGATATGGACACAAGGCTTGCCCGCACAGAAGTCCGAAGGGCTGCTGAGAAGTTCCTCCGCATCCTGAGGAGGCGGAGGAGGAGGCAGCGGGGGAGGAGGATGAGGAGGAGGAGGAGCAGGAGCAGGAGGAGGAGGAGGAGGAAGCGGAGCAGGAGGAGGAGGCCGAAGAGGCTTGCTCCTCTAATTTCCACCCCTTGGCTCGCCACCGAGGTTGGTCGTTCCCAAACTAGCAACGCCCAGTGACCACTTCTGGCCCCATCCCCCCCCCCCACGAGGAGGGCCAGGCGCGTCCGCACGCCTCGCGCGCTCCTCGGCCCTCCTCGCCGCCCTCCGCCTTGCGGGGCCCTCTCCCGCCGCCGTCGTCGTCGCCTTCGCCGTCGTCGTCGTCGTCGTCGCCGCCGTCGTCGTCGCCGTCGTCGTCGTCGTCGTCGTCGTCGTCGTCGCCGTCGCCGTCGCCGTCGCTGCCGCCGCCGCCGCCGTCTTCGTCGTCGCCGTCGTCGTCGTCGCCGTCGTCGTCGTCGTCGTCGTCGTCGTCGTCGTCGTCGTCGCCGTCGAGCGGCGGCCACTCGACCGTGGCGGGGGCCGTGGCGGGGACCCCCGGCGGATGGCGCCGCCGCTCGCGCCCGCGGCCGCGCTGGTGGCCCTGGCCGCGCTGGCGCCCCGGGGGGAGGCCAGCGGGGGCTTCCTGCGGGCTTTCCTCGGTCGGTCGTCCTCCCTCCCCCTTCTCCTCCTCCTCCTCCTCCTCCTCCTCCCTCCTCCTCCTCCTCCCTCCTCCTCCCCCCCCCCCCTCCTCCTCCCCCCTCCTCCCTCCTCCTCCTCCCTCCTCTCCTCCTCTTCCTCCTCCTCCCCTCCTTCTCCTCCTCTCCTCCTCCTCCTCCTCCTCCTCCTCCTTCTCCTCTCCCGGCCTCCTCGTCCTCCTCCTCCTCCTCCTCCTCCCCCCTCCTCCTCCTCCTCCTCTCCTCCTCCTCCTCCTCCTCCTCCTCCTCCTCCTTTCTCCTTCACCACCTTCTCCTCCTTCTCCCCCTCATCTTGTCCACAGTTTCACAATATGATGATCGCGGAGAAAAACCCAATCCGAACTTGTATAGGGCTATAGGCTTATGCGGCTATAGGGCTATAGGGCTGTAGGATTATACGGGCTATAGGTTTATGGGGTTACAGGGCTATCGGGCTATAGGACTATAGGGCTATCGGTATATAGGGCTATAGGGTTACGGGGCTATAGGGCTATACAAATATTGGGCTAGAGGGGTATGCGGCCAGAAGGCTATAGGGCTATAGGGCTATCGGGCTATAGGGCTATAAGGTTAGTAGGGCTATAGGGCGATGGGGCTATAGGGCTATAGAGCTATAAGGTTATAGGGCTATACGGCTATAGGGCTACTGGTTCACCCGGGCACCTGGGCACCCCTGGGCACCCAGGCACCCTGGCATTCGGCCCGGCGAACGAAATCGGCGGCACATCTCACCTGACCATATCAATCCGGTTGGACCCCTACAGAGGCAAGCTCTGATTGGGGAAATACCATTCTCCTCCCCTGGTGGCGTCCGGGAAATATTCGGCCCCCCTCAGTTTCACACGCGGGATTCCTTGGAAACGGGTTTTCGCTGGGGTTTTTCCAAAATGCTGTTCTCGCTGAAGCGTTGGCCTCATTTTCGGGCTAAGTTACCGCTCGTTCCGAATCGTGCTCCCGCAATGGCCTCATTTCCGCGCTTCCGCTCCTGCCGAACCGTGCTCCCGTTGCAGCGTTGGCGTCATTATTTCCAGCGCCATGCCACGGCATGGCTTTGGTCCTTCCAAATTGGCACCCAAATCCAGAACATGCCCCCCCGAAACAACCATCGGAAGTGATTCCACATTCGGTGTCGATTCGTTGATTTCTGGTTTTGCAGAAGCCCCCCCCACTTAGGGGCGTCGCCACGCCATGATATGTCAGGCTACGCGTCCTCCGAATCGTGCTCCCGCTGCAGCGCTGGCCTCATTTCCACGCTTCCGCTCGTTCCGAATCGTGCTCCCGCTGCAGCGTTGGCGTCATTATTTCCAGCACCATGCCTCGGCATGGTTTTTGGTCCTTCCAGATAGGCACCCAAATCCAGAACATGCCCCCCCCGAAGCAACCATTGAAAGTGATTACACATTCGGTGCCGATTCGTATTTTTTGGGGCCACAAGCTCGTGACCAAGAAGAACAAAACATCTGAACAGGGAGCTTCTTTTGGAAACTTGCAGAGAAATGGAAAGCGCCATCGCCAATACGTTTTTCGAGCACCCCCTGGAGGAGCTAGTCACGTACTATGGGACAATTTTCGACAAAACCAGTCCTGTGGGGGGAGGGTTTCGCTCAAATCGATTGTTGCCTCACGGACTACAACACAATCAAAAAGATAAACGATCTTTGGGTAGACCGGTCATGTTCATTGGGTTCGCGACATTTCTTACTACGCATGCTCATCGACCTGGAGTTCGATCACATACCCAACATTCGGCCAAGGAAGAACTACTGCAAACATATGCTGTTCAATGACAAGCAGCTGGCTGAAGCTCATGGTCGCCGGTTTTGCGAAGCCACCGTTTCGTCCACAGATGATTTGAATTTGGACTCGCACGCCAACCGCATCAAATATGCCATGGAAAATGCAGCCAGCATACTTCAACCAGCCGGGAGGGTACCGCGACGACCTTGGATCTCTGCAGTCACGCTTGGTCTACTGAATCAACGACATGATGCTCAACGGCAGGGCAATCTGGCGGAACAGCAGAAGCTGAACGAGCGCATCAAAGCGTCGGTGCAGAAAGACAAGCGTTACTGTTTGGATTCTGAACTGGCCAGAGGCCACTGGAAAGCTGCGCGTGCATTATACAAAACATACCGAAATGACCAGTCCATATTCAATATGAGCGAGGGTAATTCGTGGAGAGCACAAGGCGGGCTGATACTCTTGCAGAGTATTTTGAACAGGTGCAGTGGCAAGTTACTTATGCTACCCTTGTACCCAGTGGGCACGACGACATAGGGGACACATTGCCAATCTACACAGGCGCCTTTGGGATGCAGGAGTTTCAGGATGCATTGCGGGCTTTCGCCACAGTGAAGGCTGCAGGCGTAGACGATATAGCCCCAGAACTTTACACTTCAGAACCATGCGGAGAACTGTTGGCATTCTTCCAAAAATGTTGGAGCGAACAAGATATTCCTCGCGAGTGGTATACATCCATAGTTGCACTCTTACATAAAAAAGAACAGCGCGAGTTACCCAGAGAACTAGAGGCTGATGTCCGTAAGGGTTTCGCCCCCTGCCGCCGGCCCCCTCTCTCGGATAATGGGCCATGGAAGAGCGAAATCATGAGGTCTGGGCGCCGCCGTGAAGCAGTGTCCCGAATTGTTTGTTCGTTTTTGTTGTCGACCCTGATCCTACGGATCTGCGTGAAGGGTGCCACCGAATTACAGAACTGTGGTGAATCCTTTGTTTTTGGGACCCTGACCCAACGGATCTGCGTGAAGGGTGCCGCCGAATTTCAGAAATGTGGCAAATCCCCGTTCTTTTTGGACCCTCACCCTGCCGATCTGCGTGAGGGGTGCCGCCGAATTTCAGAAATGTGGCAAATCCTTTTTGTTTTTGGACCCTGACCCTGCCGATCTGCGTGAGGGGTGACGCTGGCATATCACTTGTGTTTTTGGATTATGATTCTGCCGATTTGCGTGAGTGGTGCCGCCGAATTTCACAATTGTTGCAAATCCCTTATTTTTTGGGGGGGCTCTGACCCCGCCGATCTGCATGAGGGGTGCCGCGGAATTTCAGAAATGTGGCAAATCCTTTTTGTTGTTTGACCCTGACCCTGCCGATCTGCGTGAGGGGTGACGCTGGCATATCACTTGTGTTTTTGGATTATGATTCTGCCGATCTGCGTGAGTCGTGCCGCCGAATTTCACAATTGTTGCAAATCTCTTTTTTGGGGGGGGCCCTGACCCCGCCGATCTGCATAAGGGGTGCCGCCGAATTTCAGACATGTAGCAAATCCCTTGTGTTTTTAGACCCTGACCCCGCCGATCTGCGTGAGGGGTGCCACCGAATATCAGAAATGTTGCATTTTTTTATGGTTTTGGACACTGACCCCGCCGATCTGCGTGAGGGGTGCCACCGGAGATCAGAAATGTGGCAACTCCTTTTTTAATGTTGGAACCTGACCCCGCCGATTTGCGTGAGGGGTGCAGCCGAATGTCAGAAATATGGCAAATCCTTTGTTTTTGGACCCTGACCCCGCCGATCTGCATGAGGGGTGCCGCCGGATTTCAGAAATGTGACAACATCCTTGTGTTTTTGGGCGTTGACCCCGCCGATCTGCGTGAGGGGTGCCACCGGATCTCGACGGCCTCCCGTATGGCTTCCAGTGGCCTCTCAGAGGTTTCTTGAAGGCTTCGCAGGAGCTTTTCAGAGGCCCGTGAGAGGCCTGTTGGAAACATTCGGAGGCGTCTCGTAGACCTTCGAAATTGCCACCACGGGCATCCGAGAACCAATTTGTATGCTTTTGAATCTGCCTCGGACAGGTCTCTTAGACGCCTCCCAGGGGCCTCTCAGAAGCTTGTCATAATTTACTGAGAGGTTTCGGACATCAGTTTTTCAGAGGCGTCAGTGCTGGAAGAGTTTTGAGAGAGCTCTGAGTGAGGAGCCTTGCGAGAGCTCTGACAGAACACGTTGAGAGTACCGAGGGAGGTATTAGAGATTTGGGAGTGAAGTTTGAGATGTCATGAACGAGCTCCGCGTTATAACTCTGAGTGCTGTGTGAACCGCCAGAAACATCGGGGATGCACGAGGCATGTAGCAATTTCGATAAACTCACGCACAAGGCGCCGCCAGGAAGCGTCGAAGATGAGTTCCAACAGACAAGCACTGTTTAACACCAGGGAAAAAGGACCGACGACTGTCGGTGAGTACCGCGCTAAATTGGGGAATTCCCCATCTTAACGGGGAGTTCAATCCGCCTGGGGTGGGGGAAGGGGGGGTCTCGCCGGGGAGATGGGGGGGGGTCCACGTGCCAGAGAGGAGATGCGATGGAGTTATGTTGGGAGGGGGGTCCCAGTTCCAAGGGGGGAGATGCGCACCAATGCAAAGTGCACAGGAGTCGCCCTCTGAATGGAGAAGGAGGAGGAGGAGGAGCAGGAGGAGGAGCAGGACGCGGAGGAGAAGGAGGAGGAGAAGGAGGAGGAGGAGGAGAGAAACAAGTGGGAGGAGAAGGAAGAGGAGGACGACGACGGCGAGTGGTAATGGTGGTTGGAGCGGGGGTGTCTTCCAGGCGATTGTGGCCAAGGTCGCGCTGAGGTCCAGGCCCGAGAGCGACCAGCCTGGCTCCGAGGTCATGGAGGCGCGTCGTCCCAGAAAAGGACCTGCAGTGGGGGCGCGCATCAGGAAACCATATACTTTTCGTCAGGGTATCCTGGGTTTATTCGCTCCTCGCGCTGCGCGGTGACTTCCCGCACCCGTTGAAGGAGCTGCTGCGTTCAGGGTGCGCCGGTCTTCCCCTCAGGTGCACCTCGCGCACGGGGTCTCAGGGTTGGGTTTCTTGCGAGAGATTCTTGCGGCCGCGCCCGCACTGCAGGCTGGGGCTATGTGAGAGGTCCTGACAAAAGCAGGGCTCTAGCACAGAACATCCCACAGAGGGGGAAGACATGCTACTGACGAAATCCGAGAACGAGGAGGGGGAGGGGGGGAAGGAGGACGAGGGGGAAAGGGGTGAAGGAGGGGGAGAAGAAGGGGAACCAGTGTAAGCCCAAGATACACTCACGATGCTGCAACAGAGCCTCAATAGAGCCTCCCTCCAAGTTCCCTTTCCAAGAGTCCCTACAATATTTATTTTCATTCCGGGCGTGTCCTATTGGAGTACAGCAGCCTGTGAATAGTCAATCGTGTCCGAAATCAATTCTTGGGACTACACGCTGCAGACTGCAGATCACCGTGACTACTGCATCCTGACAGTCCTAAACCGTGCCAGAAAACCATTCCTGGTATTTTTCAACACAGCGAATCGAGAGGACAGGTGCGCCCTGACAGTACCGAATCGTGACAGAGCGCCGCTTCTGGGACTTCAACCATACGAACCCTCGAAACTGATGCAAACTATTACAGTCGGGGCCTTGAAGAAGGAACGCTTTTCGTTGGGGAGGGGCTCGGTGTTCCTTGATTGTTGTACAGTTTGCCTCGGGTTTCCCTCAGGTTGTTGCATGGGAAATCGAAGCTCAGCTTATGGAAAAGAGGGGCCTTGCTCCTCATTTGGGGTGCCTTAGGTCAACGCCCCGAGTGTAAGACGGCCCTGGGGCCGCACTGAGACGCACCATTCTTGAACCTGCCGCGAGCTCTCGAGGCGACGGCGCGCGGCGCCGGGGCGGGACACCACATGCCGGAGAGCGGACCCCGCCCTCCGTCCCGTCCGGCTGCCTGCGCGCACTAAAAGACAGCGCACTTGGCACCGCTCGGACGTGTGCACTTGTCCTTCGGCGAGGGCCATCGAGGAGCATCCCTTGATCATTTGGCGAAGAAGCCGCGCAGGAAACCGAACAGAACACGGGGAATGGACGTCCGAGCGATGGCGAGCGCGCGTGCGCGGCGAGGCGAGGGCCACGGGCTGTTGAGCACGTGCCGCTCGCCGTCCCCGAGACTGCCGCCCGGTTCGGCCCTTCATGGTCATAGGTTGTGAGCACCTCTGGGGCGAAAAACGCCCGGCCCGCCCCATCGGCACGCCTGGGGGCGCGACGGGGAGGAGCCGTCGACGTGGAGCGGACGAGAAAATAAACAGAGGGGGAGGGGGTGGAGGAAGGGATGGATCTGTTCACTTGGCATCGCTCGGACGTGTGCGTTTTTTCCTCGGCGAGGACCATTGAGGAGCAGTCTTGATCACTTGGCGAAAAAACACGCACGAGACCGAACAAAACACAGGGAATGGACGTCCGAGCGATGGCCAGTTCAAGCATTCCTCGAGGCACGCCTGTGTTGCCGCACATACACTGCCCGACGACGTGTAGCCCCTGGAGGGGCCCTCGCGTGCTGTCCGCGGGTAGGGTTCGATGCGAGCGATTCGGTTGTGCACGCGTTTCGATCGGTGTTTGATTTCGGTCAGCCTCTGCGCGACCCCAGGCTTGGCATCGCTCGGACGTGTGCATGTTTCCTTCGGTGAGGGCCATCGAGTTGCATCCTTGATCGTTTGGCGCAAAGACCGCGCACGAAACCGAAAAAAACACAGAGAATGGACGTCCGAGCGATGGCGAGCAGGGGTGTCCGAGACCAAGCAGAAGCGTCGGAAGTCCTCGTTGCCTTTCGCCTGCCTACGAGGGCCCCGACTTCCGACGGCAAACGACAGCCCCAGCAGTCTGCCGACCTCGTGGGCCAGGCAGACAGTGTGAAAATCCGAGCTGTAGTGGAAACGACTCTCGGCTCCAGGATTAAAACTGACCAAACTGTGATAAAAACATCCCAAGCGTGCTTTTATGTCTCGGAGGAAAAAATCAAACTTAACACTCAGGTCCGCGCAGATCTCTCAGATCAGCGCCGGGCCCCCCTTTGCCGCGCCCGCGGCGCTGCCCAGGGCGCGCTCCGCGCGCCCGGGAGGGGGGCCAGCGCCGATCCGAAGAGCCCGCGCTGACCTCAGAGCCGTTACAGCGGAAGCACCCTGCTCGCCTCCAGGGTGCCCTGGGTTTCTTGGGTTTCGATAGTGCTGCTATGGAAAGCGCGACGTTGTCACACCAAACATCGATGGACGTCCTGGGGTCTCCGGGTTGGGTTTCTTGCGGAAGGTTTCTTGTGGTCGGTCCCCCACTGTATGTTTACGTCATTGCGTGCTTCCCTACCGATCTTAGGCGGCGAGCAAGAGGGGGAAGTGAGAGAGAAGGCCTTCTCAGAAGGCGGCGGGGCTTCTCTCAGAGGCCCTCGCGCCTTGCGGGGAATTTTCTCTGCGTCTTCGGGAAAGGCTTCGAGAACTTCTGAGAAGGCCGGGGGACGTCCGAGCCTTCTGAGAAGGCCCGCTCCTTCCAAGTCCCCCCCTTCGCTCGTCGCCGATAGATAGATAGATAGATAGATAGATATGTAGATAGATATATAGATAGATAGATATATAGATAGATAGATAGATATATAGATATATAGATATATAGATAGATAGATAGATAGATATATCGGAGGTGAGGGGGTGAAATCGAAGTGGAACGGAGAGCCCCCCTACCGGGAAATCGATTTCGGTTTCGTGTTCGTGCGTGCCGTGCGGGCGAGGCGAAGCTGCGTGGGCGGGCGAGAGAAAGTCTCCTGTGGCTGAGGCGCGGCCGGACCAAATGATTCCCTTCCTGGCGGCCGGGGCCCCGCGGTGTCCCGCCGGTGTCCCGCTGGTGTCCCGTGTGGCTGAGGCGCGGCCGGACCAAATGATTCCCTTCCAGGCGGCCGGGGCCCCGCGGTGTCCCGCCGGTGTCCCGCTGGGGCCCGCGGTGTCCCGCCGGTGTTTCGTCGGTGTCCCGTCGGTGTCCCGATGACGATGATGATGATGATGATGATGATGATGATGATGATGATGATGATGATGATGATGATGATGATGATGATGGTGCTGATGCTGATGATGATGATGATGATGATGATGGTGATGGTGCTGATGATGATGATGATGATGATGATGATGATGATGATGATGATGATGATGGTGATGGTGATGATGGTGTCCCGATTATGCAGATGATGGTGATGCTGATGATGATGATGATGATGATGATGATGATGATGATGTTGCGAATGATCATGATTCGGGGGAGGACAGAACCCCCCCCCCTGACACGTCGATGAGTGAATTGTCCGTTTTTGGTTCTCGAGAGGGCGCCGCAGCCTTCATTTTCCAGGCTTGCGCCCTCCAGGTTTGGGCCCGAGGTCGTTTTCCCTAAACCACGTTTTACTAAAGGGGGTTCTGTCCATCCCAGAATGATGAGGGTGTCCCGATGATGATGATGATGGTGTCCCGATGATGATGGAGATGATAGTGGTGAGAGGTGATGACGATGATGATCTCACTATCGATTGTGATATCGATCGTGATATCGATAGTTAGACCGATTGTGAGATCGATAATGAGATCGATAATGAGTTCGATAGTGAGATCGAATGTGAGACCGAATGTGAGATCGATTGTGAGATTGATTGTGATATCGATAGTGAGACCGATAGTGAGACCGAACGAGAGATCGATAATGACTTCGATAGTGAGTTCGATAGTGAGATCGATAGTCAGATCGATTGTGAGATCGATTGTGATATCCATAGTAAGATCGATACTGAGACCGAATGTGAGATCGACTGTGAGATCGATTGTGAGATCGATCGAACGTGATCGATAGTGATATCGATAGTGAGATCGATAGTGGGACCGAATGTGCGATCGATTGTGAGATCGGTTGTGATGTCGATAGTGAGATCGATAGTGAGACCGAATGTGAGACCGATAGTGAGATCGATTGTGAGATCGGTTGTGAGATTGATAGCCATATCGACTGTGAGATCGATAATGAGATCGATAATCAGATCGATAGTGAGATCGATAGTGATATCGATCGAGTGCGACGGTGGTCCCTCCCCCCCCCTCACTTCCTTATCACCCGAAGGGTGGTCTATGCGGTATGTATACACATACATATTTATATGTATTCGATCTCCTTCTGAGGCGGCCTCGACGGCTGGTAAGCATGCCACGCGCTACCCGAGCTCGGCCTTGGAGGGCATCCAGGCCGTCCCGCTCAAGGCGTGGCGCCGACGACGGCGACGACGATGGCGACGGCGGCTGCGACGACGCCGATTGCGACTACGACGAAAACGAGGACGTTTACAAGGGCGGCTGCGACGACGACGTCGGTGACGACCCCTGTATTGCTCGTTGTCGTCCTCCTCGAGATCCTCCGCATTTCCCCCACAGGCCTTTCCTCCGCCGCCTCCTCATTATCCTCCTTTCCTTTTTCATCTTCTCCTCCTCCTGGCACCCTTCCTCTTCTTCCCTATCCCCCTCCTTGCCCCTCCGTCCTCCCCACTCCCCCTACCTCCCATCCCCCTCCTCACCCTTCGGTCCTTCCTTCTTCTGTATATGGGTGCCAAGTGCCGATGTTACAGATGCTCCCTGCAGAGGCGTGGCTTGTCGGATGCTACCTTGCCGCCATAGTCATCTCCAGCGGCATCCGCCAGCGCAGTTCAGGTGGCTATGCGCAGGAACAGGACAAGGACGAGGAGAGGGGGAGGAGGAGAAGGATGAGGAGGAGGAAGATGAGCATGATGTACAGGAGGTAGAGAGGGAATACGCGGAATAATGGCAGGAGGACGATGAGGATGGGCAGGGCGAGGATGACGAGAAGGACGGAAAGTTGAAGCAGGAGGTCAATGAAGAGAAGGGAGATGACTTTGAGCAGGGTTCGGACCGGGAACGCTGTCGTTTGTAATCGGCGTCGACGTCGCCGCAGCCTCGTCGTCGGTGGCGGTGGGGGCCGGTGCCACCCAGAGCTTCCGTCCTCACCTTCATGCTGGAACTCTCGGGCCAGACGGCTCCGCGGTGGTCCCCGCACCCGCAGTGGGGCAGCAACCCCCGTCGCATTTGGCTCACAGCGCTTGCGCGCCAGTGAATGCCACAGAAAGCAGGCCGAGGCATGACTGCACCTTTCCCTACCTTTCCCTCGGCTCCCCGCGAGCCCCAGCTGCTGGAAGAGGCCCCGGATCCCCGAGACGGGCCATGGAGAACCTTCGGCAGCACTGCGTCCTCGCGCGTGCGGATGCCTGCGTCCTCGTCCTCTCGTCCTCGTCATCTTCGTCCTCTCGTCCCTTCGTCGTCCTCGCCCCTCGCCCCTGACCACCTACACCGCACCCTGCGTGCGGCGGGCACCGCGCCGCGGATGCCGCCGCCGCTGCAGCGGTGGGGCTGCCCCTGCCCAGCCCGCGGCGGCAGTTTGTGCCGTGGCAGCGCCCGCCGCGCGCAAGGCTCGGGAGGCTGACGTCGAGCGTATCGCCAGATTGACCACGCAGTCAGAGCGCACAGTGGGGATGAGCAACTTCCCAAGGCTACCCCTGCAGCCTTGCCCTTCGGCCCATCATCGGCGACTTTTTCGCTGGCCCACCTCGTTCGAGAAACGTTCACATGATCCTCCAAGGCCCTTGCATCCTTACCTCGCATCCTTGTTACGCGGGTTGACTGTACAGTCAAAGCGCATAGTAAGGATGGGCAGCAATCTTACACGCTTCGTGTAACCCCACCAATCCATCTAGAGTCAAGACGTCGCACCCCTAAGAGGAGGAGGATTGAAGAGGAATCGGAAGAGGAGCAAGGGGAGGCGGACGAGGAGGAGAAGGAGGAGGAGGAAGAAGAAGAGGAGGAGGAGGAAGAGGAAGAGGAGGAGAAGGAGGAGGAGGAGGAGGAGGGGGAGGAGGAGGAGGAGGAGGCTGAGTAGGAGGAGGAATAGGAGGAGGAGGAGAAGGATGAGGAGGCGGAGGAGGAGGGAGAGTGGGGGGAGGAGGGACGAGGAAGGAGGATGAACACGCGGATGAGGAGGAGGAGGAAGCGGAAGAGAAGTAAGGGGAGGGCGAGCAGAAAGGCCGGAGGCATCTTTGATGCCTCTCGGAGTTTCTTCGGATTTCTTTCGAGAGTCTCTTGGAATCTCTTGGGGCTTCTTGGGGGTCGATCGGCAGTCCTGGAGGCCTCTTGGGGCATCTTGGGTGCGTCTGGGGGGCCTCTTGGAGCTTCTTGGAGGTCTCTTAGGGAGCCCCTAGGGGGCATCTTGGGGCATCGTGGGGGCATCTTGGGGCCCTCTTGAGGCACCTCTCGGGGCCGTCCTGGGGCACCCTTGGGAGCCTCGGGGGCTTGTGTTGGGCCATCTTGGAGGAGATCGATCAAAGGAGGGGTGCTCCTTACTTCGGGTCCCACCTCCATGAGGCCAACATGTGACCCAAACTTTTTGCAAACTCAATGATGCGGGCCTTCTCGCCGAGGCATCTTGGGTCGTCTTGGGTGCCTCGCGGGGGCACCGTTGGGCGTCTTGGGGATACCTTGGGAGGCTCACACGCGTAGTAAGGATGAGTCACGGTAGGTTCGTGTCGTGTCGACCGGCGGCGACCCCGCCAGCGGCGTTCAAGGTTGAACGCCGCGGGCGACCCAGAATCGGTCGATGTTGAACGATCGGACGTTGCGGCAGCGGCCGATCGTTCAAGGTTGAACGATCCAGCGCGGTGTCAGAAACCAACGCCGGGGTCGTCATGGCACGGACCTGCAGTACACTTGTTCAAGGTTTGCCTGGCATCCTTGCCCCTTCGGCCCATCCTTGGCGATTTGTCCCCACATCCTGAGTGGGTTTCTCGTGCTCCTAGAACACCCTGTCCTTATCCCCCTCCTCCTCCTCCTCCTCCTCCTCCTCCTCCTCCTCCTCATCATCATCATCATCATCATCATCATCATCATCATCATCATCATCATCATCATCATCCCTCCTCCCTTTCCTCCTCCTCCGCCTCCTCCTCCTCTTCCATACCTACCATCTCATATCACACCTACCTTCTGATATCATACCAATACCATACCTACCATACCACACCTACCACACCAGACCTACCATACCAACCCTACCATACCATGCCAGACCTACCATGTCATGTCCCCTATAACATGCCTACCATACCATACCAGACCTACCATACCATACCACACCTATCACACCAACGCTACCATAGCATACCTACAGCACCAGGGAGGACACGCCAGAGAGGCCATTCCCACCCCCGCTCCTCCAGGGAGGCCCAGCCTGAGCGAGGAGGGTATTCGCAGACCATGTTATGTATCAGGTTTCGTGACCCTCCCACTCCTCCAGGGAAGCCGCCTGGGCGAGGAGGGTATTCGCAAACCATGTTATGTATTAGGCTTCGTGACCTTCCCACTCCTCCAGGGAGTCCCCGCCTGAGCGAGGAGGGTATTCGCAAACCATGTTATGTATTAGGCTTCGTGACCCTCCCACTCCAGGGAGGCCCCGCCTGAGCGAGGAGGGTATTCGCAAACCATGTTATGTACTTGTGTCAGGTTTCGTGCCCCTCCCACTCCTCCAGGGAGGCCCCGCCTGAGCGAGGAGGGTATTCGCAAACCATGT